TGTGTGTGTGTGTGTGTAGATCCTGTGGTTGTTCCTGTGGAGTCAGAAGAGGAGAAAGGTGAACATTCAGACCCTGAGAAGGAGGAAGACGTCGGGATAACCTTTGTAGCGCGTAAAGCAGAGACGCCGAAACAACGACCCAAATCAGGTAACAACACACACACACACACACACACACAGTTGACCTATATCTCAGCATTTCATTGATTTCTGTGAATTAAAATAAGTGAAACAGCTGTTTTTAAAGTGTAGATGATTACTGAAGACAGTGGTTCCCAACCTGGGGGTCGGGCCCAGTACACAGCTGGAGTGAAAGGGACATCTTTGCCCACAACTGAATGTAGTCATCATCGTTTCCATTGCACCTCCAGCACCCTGCATCCTCCCACAGCCTCCCTCTGTGCAACCTAGATGGGGTCCAATAGGCTCTGTTTAATACTTTAAATGAAATAAAGAAGATCCAATCCCCCTCTGTGAATCAACACTGAGGTCAGCTTCCCCTGTTGATCAGAGAGACGACATATCACCATCAAAATTAAAGCAGCATAGAGTAAAAGTAGCAGATGCCTCAACTGAAGGAATCTCTAAACTGACTCTGTCGATATCAAATTGCTGTTATGGATTTAACGAACTCGGTGTCCCCTCGTCATAAAGGTCATAGAGAACCTTGAACCCTTTTTGATACCACAGCTTCTGCCAGTACAGAGCCTTGGATTCAACCAGATTCCTGCATGTACATAGAGATGGGGGCTGACCTTGTAACTGAACGCTACTCTCCTCCAGACCCACTGTATATGAGACAACTGGATGTGTATTGACATCTGGGGGTAATTTAGATGTTATAAAGTGTGCTGTAGAGAGAGGGCTACACAGGGTACTCTACAGATTAAAAGCCAGGGCGGGGCTCGCTCTGGGGGCAAGAATCAGTGTGCCATGTGTCTAAGACTAAGGTTTGGGACTGCTGACCCTGAGTCTGGGTCGTTCATTGTTCCATAAGGAAGTATTGCATAATCTGTCAAACTGTTTAAACTATGACTGAGGGATTTTGATCAGCATGGCTTGTAACACAGAATCAAATTTGGGAGCACCAAATTTAATCAGGTTGGCTCACAGAGAAAGAAAGTAGAGAAACACTCAATGTCCTCAGTTTATCCAGCAGGAGTTCAAGGTGCACAATTCAGCCAAATTTGGGGGGAATGTTATTCCAGTACGTCAAGTCCTTCATGGGGCAGCTAAAATTAATTAGTGACTCTGAGTTAAAGTTGTATTCAGATATTTTGAGAAACTATGTTGAGCAAGGAAGCAGACAATGTTCTGGTTCAGAGACAAACAGGAGGATATCATCAGCATATGGCGTTAGGTTTTGAGGTGATTCGCCAGTCTGGATACCTTTATTCTGGGTCGGTCCGGATGGCCTAAGCCAGCGGCTCGAGAGCAACACTGTACCCCTTCCAAAGTCAAATGAAGGCGAGAGGATCATTAGTGAAAACAGGTGCTTTAGGTTCAGAATATTTGAACTTGATCCAGTCAGCGAAGGGTGGAGAACAGATAACGCCGCTCCACCCTATCAAATTATTAATTAACAATGAATTATTGTACATTATTGTTGTAACATTATCAACAGACGAGACAGAGCGAATGAATCCGACTTGGTGATTTAGAGAGTTTCAAACCCTGTTTATGATTGTTAAAAACAGATAATACAGACAATATTCACAGGAAATAATCTGCTCCAACTTCCTGCTGTTACTGTGTTCCCTGTTTGGGTTCATTGAACAGTTTATCAGTTACTGTTATTGTTGTGTCTCCTCCGTCAGTCCCAGCAGCTCTGGACGGGAGTCCCTCAGCCAGCCCCTCCTCCCCCCCCAGTGGGGACAGCCACCTCCCATGGAAGGGCAGCGTGGGTTCTCCTCCCCCCTGTGTGTCTGTGGAGGCCAACAAGATCATCCCTGTGGACCTCCAGCAGGCCTGGAACCAGAGCATCTCCTCCCTGGAGAGCATCTCCTCCCCACCCGCCCCCGCTGAGCCCGTCCACCCCCGCGTCAGCGCCCTCTCCAGATTGGGAGGACCCC